TCATTTAGTCGTTCTGACGTCGGAATGTTTTTTTATTTTTTTTTATTCTTAACTTTTTCTTTGATGGCGTTGGAATGTGGTGACGCCACAAAGCCAATAGAACGTTCTCTGATAGGTTCTTTTATTCTTATTGGTTTCTCTGAAGTTGGAATGTGACGTCATTCATAGATCAAAGCATATGGAATGTTCCTTTGATACAAAGCCAACATGATTTCTATAAGTTCAGGACCCACATCCAGTTTACTTCATTCAGATTCGTATGAGCACATTCACTTTGTTTCAGAAAAACAACAGAGACTAAATCTGATCATGAATCCAGCAAACCCTAAAGACGTGGATCCGGCCATCCCAATGGCCACAGCGGAGACCATTCGTCCGCTCATCCACATGTCCCTGGACAGACAGACGTCGTCCCAGAGGGCTGAGCTTCGATCCCTTAAAAGGACCGAAAGTATTATTTTGAAAAAAAGAAGTCTGAAGAAGACTCAGTTGACTCCCGTACTTCTTTTTAGAGTGGATGAAGAAGATGAAGAGGAGGATGAGGATAAAGACAAAGACAAAGACAAAGACAAGTTGATGAAAATGACTGCAGCTGTCAGGACTATCCTGATTCAACAGGCGGCTGAAATAAATCAAATTGTTGAGTGTAAAATCAACACTTATGATTGCAAAGTCAAAATGTCTGAGGAGGAAGAGAAGTTGCTGTTATCCAGCACCTCCAAAGATGCCGAGGAAGCAGCTTCGGACATCGCAATGACAATACTGGAGGAAATCTCCATTAACACCCCACCTGAACCACAGGATGAGTCCTTATGGAGAAAGGTGGGGAACAAATTGAAGGCCTTTTTGGTGAACTTATTCACAAAGGCGGCACTCCTTAGATTCATTTCTAAACTGAGGAGGAGATTTCTCTGCTTCATGGCAACTTCGGAAATCGCATCACTGGAGGAGCTAGTTAAGGACACGGAGCAGATGGTGAAGAACATGAACCCACCAGAGGAAGACGACGAGTGCCTCTACGAAAAAATGATGGCAAACTTTTCCAGCGGCCGTAAGAACATGGCACAGCAGCTGAGCAGGATGATGATTCATCACCTGAAACATGGACATCGTCTGAATATAAGAATGGAGGTTGAGAATGAAGTGGACTTCTTCTTGAACCTGACATGGGACTGGCTTGTCATGCAGAGCCGTCAGCATCAGAGGAAGAAGGACAGAGTGACTGCTGCTCTTAGAAAAATTAAAAGAGTAGTGAAAACTCTCCCAACGCCAAGTGAGACACATCTGGCACCAGCTTCCATCACTGAGACACCAGCTTCCATCACGGACACACCAGCTTCCATCATGGACACACCAGCTTCCATCACGGACACACCAGCTTCCATCACGGACACACCAGCTTCCATCATGGACACACCAGCTGCAGTTGAGGCCTCAGCACACCCTCTCCCAGAGTGGGACGAACTGAGCTGCAAGCTTACTGTGGCTGCACTGGTTAAACAGATCACAAAACATAAAGACTTCATTAGACCGTCCAATGATAGCGTGAAAACATTGACAGACATGCTCTGGTCAGAGACTGAAGCCTCTGACGTTACTATGAAACGGACCAAAGACCACATTAAGAAGACAGTAAAGGCGGTGCACAAGGACTTGCGCAAGAAAATGGGCAGTGCAGGGATCGTCCGAATGTGCCTGCTATCACAGGACACACTGATCTACAAGATGATAATCGAGACCCTAAAAAAGCATCTGGTGGCGCCACAAAAGAAATCCTGCGTTAAGAAGATCTTCACAGGTCTTTTCAAGACCATGGCCAAGCCATTTACTGCACACAGCAAATGTGACAGCAAAGATTAACCATCCGCAGTCTGCACCACACGTGGTTTTACTCCGAGTACTTCGGTTTTTCCCACGTCGTAATTAATTAATTACTTAATTGAAAAATATTCAAATATCTAAAAATCAAAAAATACAAACATCTATGTTGAACTCTGTGCTACCAGCCTCAGTTCGACTGGTAGCACAGCGTTCAACCTGGATATGAAGTAGGACTTCAGGTCTCACAGGGCCACACAGGTGCCTCAGTGTTCAACACTGTGGATTCGCAGTAACAAGGTGAGGGTTCAGTTCTGAGCCTTGACCTTCTTGCTGTGGAGAGTACAGAGTGCTCACTGTGCTGGCATGGGTTTACTCCGAGTGCTTCGGTTTCCTCCCAGATTTTTAAGAATATTATTTAAAAAAAAAATAAAATTAATTAATTATATTCCTGTTTTAAAATATTTTCTTTCTCATTATTTGCTGTATAACTGTAGATGTGTAACTCAAACTGTGTGTGTAACTTGAAATTATTATAACTGGAGCAGGATATTTGGTTGTTACAGATGACCGTCAGTGCTGTACAATCTGTATTTGAAACACAACATGAAATCAAATTTCAGGAATGAAGTGTATGAGTATGTCGCCAGCAGTAAACTAATAATGTTAGCTACCTCCTGTATTGACTGGACAGTACACACAGACATTCTCAAGAGCACACTTTATTGCCACACTTCCATACATAGAACATAATAAAACACCATCTATACAGCACCTTCTGTATGTTGGCTCTATCAGTACATGTCCCCTTTCTTTTAATATTACTTTATCATTTTTAATTGTCATGTACATAAAACATGACCTAAACAGTGTCACAACAAGAAATAAAAACATCCTTTCCAACACAATATTTCTGCCTAATTGTAACATGAAATACACAAACCTTTTTACTGCTTGTTATAAACAGTAGCTGCACAAGATCGCACTTTTTTTCGGTAGCTGCTATTGCCAAGTGAACAAGCTCGTCGATACATTTTACAGGTGCAGTACTGAAGGTTTCTCAGAGGGAAACGATGGTTTGATGAATCATGACAAGAGCCGACCGCCTGTTAACCAGGGAGGATCCATCTGTGACAATCTGCTCTTTAATCATGGATCATATTATTTATTTTATGGCAGCAGACTCTCAAAACCTTCCCTGAATACAGAATCAAAGAACTCAGAGACAAATTTTGGCCTTTTTATTTATGACGTTTTGATGTTCTGACATGATTCCAGTCGTTCTTTGAATTTATAAAATAAAGAAGAATAAATTGTAAAATTGTCGTCTTGCAGGTTTAGCTTAGTTCAGAATAAACAAATGATTCACAGCTCACACATCCTCTTCATCTCTGTCAGCCCCCAGCTGAGAAGAATTAGTAGAACCAACAACCATAGCTGGTTCCCACAGAGTCAGACCTCCTCCTCTGGCTGCTGTCTACTCCATGGAGATCTAGAGGTTCTTTGTTTCTGACAGGACTGTGAAGGTTGTAGAATCTGAACAATAACCAACGAGACCAACAAAGTGTCAGGATGTCAAATTTTGGGGTTTTAGCTGCATTTTTAACTCTTAAACTCACAGTAATTAATTGATTTTAATGGCCATGTGAGGGCAGCAATTCACGAAAAGTTGACTTTTTAGCTACATCGTTCTCACAGGACAGCAACACTACGAAGATTTGTTGATTTGATAGACTATGATATAACACAACTACCCAATACTTTTATTTTAATAAAGTTTTGAATGCAGGATTTTTACATTGTTGTATTTGTAATGTATTTAAAGCAGCAACAAGGTACTTTCATTTTGTGTTTTGTGTGTCACCACCTTGTGATTTCAATGGGAATTAGACCAAATCCAACCCAGAGGCAGGAATTGAGAATAACTGTATAGAAACAGCAAATCATCTATGTGATGGTCTTGTGTTAATGCAAGTCAGTGGCATCAGAATTAAACTGCGACTGTTTCATAACCAGTTAAAACCCTCCTTGTAGTACGATTAAGTAACTGATCTGAATACATCTTCCACCACTGTTGGTACCAGCGCTGTCAAAGAGCCCTTGGGCAAGGCTTTAAACTCCAAACCTAGACTTATTCATGTGACATAGAGGAATATGGTCCTCACTCTCATCTGAAAATGTATCTATTGATGTTCAACATGTCACAGAATCACTTCCCCTGTCTGAGTTTCATCCACATGAGTTGCTCCATACAGACTGTGCAGTCGGCCGACAGTTTCCCACAAAACCTTTCCACATGGACGAAGCCTGAGAACCACGGAGCTGTTTTAATATTAGAAAAAACACCTTGAGAACATCAGTATATAGACACCTGCACACAGATATCAAAACTGTGAACATTTTTATTTGAGTATTACATCAATATACCACGTGTGTTTCTACATAAGAATGTCTAATAGTGGCATTTTACATTAAAGACATTTCCTTTATTAAGTTCTTGTACAAATATGAAATTTAATTTAGCAAACAGCTTTTCTCTGCTTATTAAAGGTCTAGTGTGTAACATTTAGGAGGCTCTATTAGCAGAAATGGAATATAACATTCATAGATATGTTTTGATTGGTGTACAATCACCTGATTTGAAGAATTATTGTGTTTTTGTTACCTTAGAATGAGTCATTTTTGTCTACAGACGCTGCAGGTCACCTTCCATGGAGTCTGCCATGTTCTACCACCATGTTTCTACAGTAGCCCACAACAGACAAACCAAACACTGGCTGTAGACAGGGTTAGTTTCTCCTACACACTTAACAGCCCATGTTGCCAAATTAGATATGCAATCTGTGTTCAGTTGCTGTCTGCAACTTCACCACTAGATGCCACTAAGTCCTACACACTGGTCCTTTGAGTAATAAATAATCAATGGGGTGATGCTGCTTTAGGATGTACAATCTAAATTCAAAACATTAAGGTGCTGTATAACACAACAAAGTCCACATTTGTGACTAATATCAATAAATAAAATAAGCTTGTTTGCTGACAGAATTTCCTACATAATTATTATTTTTACATTTTCTGTCATTATTTTCATGTTCGTGTTTTGTTGTACTATAAAATGCAGTAAATGATAACGGCTGCACATCAAGCTATAAAGCTGAGATCCTTGCTGACAGATGATATGCTGATATCACTGAGGAAACGTGCAGAGTGGTCAAACTACAGGCTCACTGTTATGTGCTTATAAATGTTGAGATTGCAAAGAAGGTGTAAATTGTTTGACGAATCTTCCTGCTGGGACTGAACAATGACACACATTTTCCTCCTGGGACACTTAGATTTTCCTTCAAGCAACACCACAAACACGTGAACTCTCTCATCCTCCTCCATCACAAACCTTCTCTGACGTACACAAACAGTCTGTCACATGAAACCGCCCACAGAGCCGCTCTGACGGGCGGCGGCCTGAGTATTTGTCATTGATCTCAGGCGTTTGGATGCTTCAACTGGACCCTCTCTGCCATCCGCCTGGTGCTGTACAGAGACACTCCCAACCCCACTGTGGCCATCGTCATGGCGATGGGATCGATGAGACTGCTCTGTGGCTGCATCCGGACCTCACCTGAGACCTGCCTCTGCAGACAGGACGGACAGACAGACACAGTTAGACATACACCCTGCTGATAATAGGGCAGTTAAAATTATAGTATGATACTTATTTTTTACATTAAAACCACAGTGTGTTTAATTTATGTGATCATGGCAGCTTTTAAAGTTTTCTGAGTGCTTCAGTTTCTGATAAATGTGACAATCCTGATAAATTTGGTGCAGTTCATGTTGTCATTCTGCTCCTGGAGACTTTTTTAGACAAACCACTAGTGTGTGTAATGTGAGTCAGTCCACCAACAGGAAAGGCAAAAGTAGATAGTGCCCTCTGTTGTTTAAAAGTGAGGATTCATCTCACTGATTTGAATCTTCACATATTTGTATCAGAATTTAATTGTGATTTAATGTTACATTCCTACATGAAAGTTAAAGTAAAAGTAAACTGGTGAACATGGTTAACATCACACCTGCTAAACTTCGCATTCAGCTCAAGGTAAGGTGAAGTACGACCTCACAGAGCCATCGGGGGAGTGGCAGCTAAGTTGGAAAATGTCAACACATAATGGCTTAAAACTGAAATCTTTTCCCTTTCTACTTGTCTGTAACTAATATTCGCACTTAAATTCTGTTTGTCTGAAACTGGCTTTATTATGTAAATCCAGTGTGTAGGATTTAGTGGCATATAGCGGTGTAGTTGCAAGCTCAAAGGAGAAACTGCTGTGGCCATGAAATGTGTGAAACACCAGAACAGCCCCATCTAGAGCTGAGTCTGCCTCTTAAAAGGAAGTTTTTCCTTGCCATTGTCACAAAGTGCTAGGAGTATGGTCTATTAAGAAAGTTTCCTTACATAACTTCTGTTATGATTTGGTGAAATACAAATAAAATTGAATTGAATTAAATCCTAAACACGTTCGTTTAACTCATCAGTGCAAAAACTTGGCCCACAGCTCTGTTTGTGAGCTCAACAAAACATTATCACATCATGAACTTTCAGTAAGCTTTTAAAGCCTCTATGATTAGAATTTAATAATGTCCGACTTTGCCACCCCCCAGTGGTAGTATCAGAAACATTGTGGCAGACAGCAATGCATGCCAACACCCTCCTCCCTCCACTATATTCAGAACATTTCTCTTTTATGGAGCCACTTCCATGCAACACGAGCTCTGAGAGTCTGAACATATTATATAATGTAACCTCCTGACACGAGCTGCACCAGCTCTCTGTAAAATATTAATTGACTCCTTGTTGATTGCTGTTCCTCTTTCAGTGTAAAGCAATTACATAAAAGATTTATGAAAATAATCTGTGTTGACGCAATTACTGATCGAAACGTTTACTTTCACTAAGTGGATTTATTTATTTGTGCTCTCTACATTAGAGTTATAATGCATTTGTCTCCTTTCAGAGATACAAAATATTTCTCTGTGTACATTTAGGGAAGAAATGTTGCAGCTATGGAGACCAGTCAAATAAAACCTAAAGACAAAGCTGCTCTCTGAGGTTGTGACCCACCTGGAGGAGACGGAAGTATCCTGGTGTCAGTCTTCCCAGTCTGATTAACATTTCTGCTGCTGGAGCTTCTCAGACGAGCCAACAGCCTTCCTGCAGGAGAGGAATAAACGTCACAAGTTTACAATGTAGGAAGTATAAGATTTCAATCCTGAAATTTGTTGCTCCACCAATCGGTACGCCTTCCTTATATAATCTGCTCTGAACGAAGCCGCTTCTACACGTAACCTTTTAACATAATTTGTATATTTATATGAGCCCTAAGCACTTCAACCAAAGAGTGAATTTCCTTTATCAGGTTGTTTTATTTTAAATATTTGTAAGAATCTGAAGGTAAAACTATACAAGTATTTTGTTAAGGTAAAGCTCGACAAAATATGCATTATTTTCTGTAGCAGAAGCATGTTTCTTCTTCTAGACTGTGCCCCTATTAGTCATTTCGGGACCCCTGAGAGGGACTAAAGAAACCTGACACTGTTTGTCGGAGGATGTGATGAATATATTTTGGACATTTCTAGTTATTCTGCAGCTTATCTGGAGATAACTGAACCACATCAAAGACAACTTTGTAACTGGATCGAAAAAAGTTTTGTAATTTACTTTAAAAAAAGCACAAAACAACAGAGGTGCTCACAGTTTATGGAGCATCAGTATTGTTTTACACGAAATATTCAAATAATTTCTTCTCAAATATTTTTATTTAAGCCTTCCACACCTTAATGATAACTGTTTGATCTACTGTCAACATTAAAATAAACAACAAAAAAATTCAGTTTGTATCCCCTTTGTGTTTGGTTATAATATATATATATATATATATATAGTAATTTGTAATACAATTCTTAAACAACAACTTTTAACAAAGTCATTACAGCTTAACTGTAACTAACTTAACTGTTTTCCTTGTTGGAAAATATCTCTTTCTCACAGCTGAAACTTGGAAATTTACTTTAAAAACAGTTTCTAAAACACCAGCAGTTTTTAAGTAAAAACAAAGTCTGTCTCACCGTTTGACTCTGGGAGTTTATCCGAAAACACTCACCCTGACCTTCATCCACGGCTGCAGCACCCGCAGACAGACAGCATGTGAAGCCCCTCAGCAGCCTGAACAAACAGTGGCCAGCCTGTCGTACTGAAGAGGCTCCTGTGTGTCCCTGATCTTTTGTGCAGTGTGAACATCCCAGTCTGATGGGCTCAACGGGCTCAGTCTGGCTCAACACACACTCACAGTCACATCACTCACAAAGCTGCATGAAAAGCAGCGGCCTGTCAGGGATGATTTGGTCATCCAGCCAGTAAAATGAATGAGAGCGGAGAGAAGAAGAAGAAGTGGCTCTGTGTAGCATGTTGCACGCTTGAAGGAACATGTGTGTTAATGCGCTGCAGTGACTTACATAACCCAAAAAGACTCTAGAGAAAATACTTTTTAACAACTGTCCTAAATGGACCTTCTGGGTGCCACAGCTACTGAACACAACGGGCTGTAGCCTTTGACAGAAGCTTTAACCTTTAATTAGATTAGACGGGTTATTTTTTATGTTTAAAGTAATTAAGTGTTTATTATTTTGATGTTACATAAGTCCCCAGTTTCCTTGATGCCACACTGATTGTTGAGGGTCTCATTGTTCACGTTGCTTCATTGGTTATATAAAAGAATAAATAATTATTGCATAGAAACGTATCTAAATGATAGGTTTAATAATGTAAATATTGTAAACAAAAGATATACAAATCAAATTCTTTCATTACTTTTTGTCATCTTAACTAAACTTTCAATCTGAAAAAACATTTGTGATACATGCATGTTGTTTATTTACTATTATACATCCATTTTAACATTTGTACTGAAATAAGACATGTTAGGCCACAAAGGCCAGTCGGTTTACTACACTGTGTGTGTGTGTGTTGTTGTATATATGAGGGGGACTGGAGGTGGACTAGACAACAAGGTGCTGATTGTGCACATCCACTGACCTCATGTCTGCATTTGCTGCCAAAGTCAAATAAAACACTTCAACATCCAGAGATGCTGGGAATGAATCGGCTATTAGAAATAAACAACTATTAATGATAAACAAATAAATGTGCTGCAATGTTTGGTCTGTAAAGTTTTGTGTTGTTGTACATTAAAATCTATAAGATAAAATAAAGGTGTAAAGAGGTTGCATTAGACCAGAATCTTTGTGGACATCAGTCTTTTACAGATACAGTGCTGAAGTATTCTGGGTCCTGTGCTGTCGGTCCCACTTCATCCTGACCTGCAGCCTTGATGGGAGTTGTGGCCAGCGTCAGTTTCACTCCTGCAGGTCCTGGAGCACCTGTGGTCTCTATAGATATGACATGCCCGATGAAATGCTGAAACACACAGCAAAACACAGCCGATGGAGTCATCGGAGAGTAGGTCTCCTCGTTGTTCTGCACGGCTCTAATATCAGATACATTTACACTGAGTTCACTTACAGCTGTATGAAGATTTAAAGTAAATAAAGGAAAATCTTTACAGCCTCAATTCACAGAATTAACATATTGGCAAAAACATGTTTATTGCTGATCTAAATTTGGGCATTTTAACATGGAGGTTTATGGGGATTGAATTGCTTTTGGAGCGAGCCTCAACTTTAATTTAATCTCCTTTAGCTAAATTACTGATAGTGAACAGGACAATACTGTTAAAATCTGTGAAGTCATATGAATGTTGTGTGTTAGTGAGAGACCTCTTTAGGCTGGGCTGCAGCATCCTCATGCTTTGGTTTGGGTTGGGATGATTCAATGAATTTCTCCCTCTGTGCTTTTACTTCCTGTACAAAAAAGTTGACAAAAATTAAAAACATAGTTATTCAAACTGATTCTTTGCAACAGTTATGACGACTTGAGGTTATATATATATATATATAGTATATATATATATGGATGATGAATATAAAACCTTGAGGATCTCGTAGTTTGACGTCCTGGAAACGTAACTGTCCCATGACTTGGCTGTGAGCTCCTGTTGCTTCCAGTGAGACTTAATCTGCAACATAAATACACCAAAAAAGAGTGCAAATTATCTACTGTGTCTACACTGGTTATTATTATAAGTCTCAGAGACAAATTACATTCAGTGAAAGTTTTACAAATCCTCTAATATATATTTTTTTATGAGGAAAATGCTTCAAAAATCTGGATCTGCTTCAAAATACACGACTGACAGACAGTGGGTTTTTTTTCTGTATCCATATCAATTTGTACTGCCAACATCCAAGACACTAGACAAGTTTTGTGTGTTGTAAATCAAAGAAAATATCGTCAGCTGACTTTCACAATCTTTGTTTTGGCTTTCTCTTTGTGACTTTCTCAAATATAAACTTAAACTCTCTCAGCACCTCTGTGTACATGAGCTCCTCCTCGCCAATTTCGCCCTTCTCCTGTAGCTCCAGGATGCTGTTCTGTTCGGCTGCGACTCTCCTCGCTGTGTCCTCTGCAACCTTACAGATAGTGCTCAGAGCCTCCTCATCAGGGCTGATCGGCCTCACGCCGTCCAAACTCAGCTCCTTGCTGATCTCGTCCCAAACCTCACCGACCTGCAGCACCACAACACACACAACTCAGTGTACATAGTGTTCTATGTGTTTTTGTGTCATCTGAAACAAAAGTCTTCGCTTGCTGCATTAAAATTACGCTTTAACTATAGTTTTAATAGACAACCAGAAACATTTTGGCCTCATATTTGGTACTGACGCCATCTCTCTTTTCAGCTTCTTGAACGAAAATTAAAGCTCAAACATGGAGGATTTTAACACCATTTCAACATCTTTCAAACTATTCTGATGGTGTAAAAATGACCTAATGACCTTGATGTTACATCTTATTTCATATCCATCACTGATGTTTTTCTTTGCTTGATGAACAGCAGTTCTACCTTAAAGTCCATATATCTCCTGACGATGCTCAAGGTCACATAATGTTGTGTTGACAATCCAGGAAGGTCTTGAAAACCTGCAAACATGACAAATAATTCAAATTCAAAATTAATTTCAAAGCATAGTTTTAAAAGTTCCTCATATATAGTTTGTTGCAAATTTACTGTAGTGCTAATATTTAATTAGTTTCGACTTGTACATGTACATCATTACAATATTTTCCCTAGAAGGAACTTTCATTTTGTGTTGATTCTGGCGGCCCCGTGGACAAAAGCGTTCCCATGGGAATCCCACCGAATCTGACCCAGTGATTAGTATTAAAAATAACTATACAGAAATAGTCTTGCTGATCTTGGTCTTGTTTGTTCATGTAGGTCATATAAAGGCAATAGTATTAATTTGAGACTGTTTCATAACCAGTTGAATACTCTTTGTATCACATGTAAATAATCATGAATCATGTGTTGACCTTGCATACGAAAACCCCATCCATGTAGAACTAAAAGATGGATCTAGAGTTAAACTGTTATAGATATTTTGAGGTTGTATATCTACAACAAAGGCTACATGATAGAAGTAGCGTTAAACATTTCCAGATGTTTAAACCTGGTCTAAATCTTTCATGCTTTACCAAGTTTGCAGAAGATGAAGTAAATCTTTGACCGCAGGTTCTCTGACAACTCCAGCACTGCTGCACTTGGTACGTTGGCAGGAAATGACAGTTGGTTGGCGTCCTGCTGGTGAAGACTGAGAATGGGCCTCTGGGGATCTGAAAGTCAAAAGTGAAAGTCAGAAAAGAAGAGGGTAAGATGTATAAGTATTACATATATGGTTGCACTGCAGCATCCATATCTGTATCTACAGAGGCCACATGGAGGCTGGCATGTTGAACCACCATGTTTCTACAATAACTATCGTAGTTTCTCCTACATGCTTGGAACTGGAGGGTGAGGCGAGGGCACTGCAATCTGCAACTACACCGCTAGATGCAACTAAATCCTACACACTGGTCCTTTAAACACCAGCTCAACTCTGTTTTACTTGTTTCTACTAGCAAATCCATTGTTTGGTGTGTGTTTGGTACCTAATCAACAGCATTAGACACTTACAGTGTGAAAAGGATCTCATTTCAGAGAATAAATTAAAACATATTAGTTCAGGGCTGACTTTTGCTCCCAGTCACGCCTGCTGCTCTTCACTTGATCTGCTGAAAAAGAAAAGTCTAGTTGCAGACTGACCTGCGATCACTCCGTGTCGGTTTCGTCTGACTTCCAGCTCCTCCTCCTCCTCCCTCCACAGCTGCAGCAGGAGTCCGGGAGCCATCTGACCACCGTCGTTCCTCCAGCTCAGGATGTGAGACAGAGTGTTCGGGTTGTCACATAACTCCACCAGGGTGGAGAGGATTATGCAGTGTACGCATCTGGGGCTTGACTGTGGGAGAGAGAGACAGTTACATATCAGTACTTTACATTTAGGTGTGTACGGATACAGAAAACAGTAACTTCAGCTACTTACATAGAGCAAGTCCAACAGAAGAAACACTCCATCTTTAGCCAAGAAGTAATCTTCAGTAGTGTAGCAGCCCACAATACAGGACCTGATGGGACACACGCAAACTTTCTCAACTGTGTTCTCCTTTGTTTTTGTCAAACAAATTCTCCTACGAGGCCAACAAGTTAATTTTACTATAAGTGCAACAAGTGTAACAATGTATAAAGGGTGTAATGATGACCTAAAGCATCTGTAATGTTAGCTTGAGGAGTTTAATATGTTTTTCACCTTAATTTGGTTATTTAATTTAAAGTTAGATTAGAGTTAAGATAAATTAACACTATACATA